CGCCGATGAAGGCCTCCGACAAGCCCCCGGCAGGCGCCAATCAGCGGACACAGGGTGGGCGGGGCGGGGACTCCTCACCTGGCCCCGCACGTGTCTCCCTAACCCTGCAGCCTAGCCAATCAGGGCCCAGGGATCTGCTCGCGGGGCGGGCCAATCCCAAACCACGATCTGGGTACGCTGGCCTGGCCTCATGAATAATTAATATGCCAGAGCCCGTCCGCAGGCGGGATAGGATGGAGGGAGGCGGGGGAGACGCTGGGCGCCTGCGCAGTAGCTGCCCGTGTCGGCAGCTGCGGCGGGTCGCACGGCTCCGGCCCACCCGCGCCTCGGTGAGGGGGGAGTCCGCGCTTGCCTGGGGGCGGGGTTTCCGCAGGGGCGGGGCCTGGCAAGGGCGGGGCTGGGAGGTCGGAGGTCAGGGTGAAGTGGTCCAGCGGAGGGGGATGGGGGCCAGGAATGACCAGGGACCTGGAGGACGGGGCAAGGGGTTGGGGGAGAAAGTCAGGGGTCAGGCTGAGAGGGGATGGGTCAGGGAGGCGGGGGCGTGAGGAGGAGGTTCGCGTGGGGGTTGCTGAATAGGCAAGGGGGGTCAGGAGCAACCCTTAAATGATGCCTGCATCAGAGTCACTCTGATGCTGGTTTAAAATGCTGGGTCCTGGGCCCCACCCCGTCTGCGGCTCCGGAGACCGGAGTCTGCATTTTGAGCAGCAGCCCACTGCACCCCGTGATTGCAAAGTCCACCAAAGTTTGAGACGTGCTGTCTGTGGTAGTGGGGCTTGTCTTCCTGTACGGTACTCCTGTCCCGAGCTGCTGGGGACAGGGGGAGGGGAGGTTTGGGGAGGCAGGTTTGGATGAGGGTCACAATGAGGTCACTGAGGCCCTTCACCTGGCTGTTTGGGACCAGCCCTAGACTTTGGAGCTACAGTGGCAGGACTCAGGGGTCAACCGATTGCCTGAGCCTCAAAGGTCCCTGGGTCATACGTGGAAAGCAGGTTTGGCCCTGTTTTTTGGCCTAGGAGACTCGGTTCAGGGGGTATCAGGAGAGTCACTTACTATGGTGTTTTGGGTTCAAGAAGGTATATTTTCTGCCTGAGACCTTTGGATTTCCAAGAGCCATTATTGTAATTCAGGGATTTCAGAAAGGAAAGGCCTTCTGTGAATTGCCTGTCCTGGAGAATTAATTTTCCTTTTTAAAATCCCATTTCCCTTCCTTTCCTGGGTGTGTTCTGAAGCTCCCATCCTTATGGCTGTCGCTGTTGGGTTATAAATAGCTTTAGCACATCAGGTGAGGCCAGGCTCTCTCCTCCTGTATTGGGACCTCATGTGCACAAACCACACAAACCTTTTTTTTTTTTAAAGACAATCTTTTATTTTAAACCTAGGACCGAGATAAACTGTAGGTAGGTATAGGTGTACACATCTGCCAGGTTCTTGTTTAAGATGATCAGATAATAACCATCCATAGCAGGAATTCTACCTTATGTTTGCAGAATGCTTAGGAAGCACTTTGACATCAGTTTATTTAATTTAGACTTCTACAACAGTCCTGCAGGGTAATAGCCCCACTTTCCGGATGAGGAAAGTTGAGACTTAAGAGGTGTTTCCTCAAGGTCACACGGCTTGGCCTTATGGCTCTCGGTTTGGTGCTCTTTCTGCTGTATCACACAGGCAACCACTGGTATCAATCTTGTGATTTGAAAGATAGTGTAATCCTTTGTCTCTTACCATTCAAGACTGTACTTTACAAAACCTAGTTTTAAATACTCCTTAATTGGGGACCAGCAGTTGGCTTAACCGCAATGTCGCTGGACTCCATGTAGTCGTCCGGTATGAGTCCCAGACCTGGTAGCTTAAACTCAGTCCAGGCACGTGTGCGTGTGTGCCCAAGATCCCGAGAGGAGAATGGAGGAGAAGAGATTGCGACGTGGCCATCCCTTCTGAGGGGTGATTTCTCGCTTTCTGTCTCTCTGCCTCTCTGCCTCTCTCTGTCTTTTTGGCGCACGCACACGCCCTATAGCAAAAACCTCTCCAAATAAAAAAAAAAGAAATACTCCTTAATTGAACCTGGAGCTTATTATTATTCCTTGCCCATGAGCCTGGCTTCTTTTCTACCTCCCTCCTGCCTCCTTAGTCCCAAGGTACCCCGCCCAACATGGATGACAGTTATTTCTGAACAGAATGCAGAGTCGGGATCTCAGGGGAGAAGAGCAAAGAGGTCACCTGATCCACCCATCCCACCCAAGGCTTGGTTTTCTTAGTTCCCAGTTGGTTTTAAACCAAAGCCTGGTACAGAAGACAGTTGCAGGAATTCTAGTTAGTTAATATTAGAAACCGTGGCCATGTTCTGTTCAAAACCTCCACCACCTTACCTCACTGGGTGTGTCCACTGTTACTGGACCAATAGCCTGCTTTTTGGCTATCTGTGGTCCGGGAGTCCATGCGTGACTGGTTTATTTCCAACATAATTGTGTTTGATTTCTCTTTTTCATTGCCAAATCCTGAGTTCAAAGTTGTCGCCCTCAATTTTGAAAATTCATTTTGAACTTGTCATGACTTTATCTCCCATTTCCCTGATTAGCCTCCCTGTCATTTTGATTTCCAGTCAGGCTTGTCACATTTCTCTCTCATCTCTTTTCTTAATCGTCCTCTCTTAGATTTCCACGGGCTTAACTTTTCGACTGAGACAATTAGTCAGGACCAGTTCCCACTAATCAATTAGCTTTGTTTTGAATAGGATTATTTAGCTCCACCCCTTTCCTTCTTCCCAGAAAACCTGCCTTCAGTCTTTTCTGTTTATTTGGTGATAAAGTTCACTTGAAGTGGTTGCTCTGAACAAGGTCCTGGAAGGACAGCTCTAGACTCTAGACCCTTTCTATCTAATGAACCTAAAGTGTATCTGCAAATCCAACATTCTCCATTGAAGCTACACATTTTTCCTAAGTCCATTGTCTACTTACTTCCATGATGCCCTCTGAAATCCTTTTTAAAAAATTGTTTATTTAATTCAATTTGTTATTATTATCTTTTAATTTGGCCAGAGAGAGACACAGAGAGAAAGAGAAAGGGGAAGCAAGAAAGCAAGCCGCCAGGTCCAGGACTTGAACCATGGTTGGCCATGTGGGAGTCCAGCACCTTAACCATCACACCACTTGCTGGCCCGCCTTCTGAAATCTTGAAGTGGATCAGACATAGTCCCTGCCTTCAGTGAGGTCACAGTAGTAATGGATGCCTGCCATGTGCCAGGAACTTGGGAGACACTTTCTTTCTCTTTTTGAAAAATATTTATTTATTAAATTAATTCCATTTGTTATTATTATTATTATTAATTTGAGCACAGAGACAGAGAGAAAGAAAAAATGAGAAAGCAAGCCACCAGGTCCAGGTCTCGAACTGCAGTCAGCCATGGGGGAACCCAGCACCGTTAACCACCATGCCACCTGCCGGCCCTTATTCATTCATTCATTCATTTGGAGAGGTTTTGGCTATAGGGAGCGTGCTCTCACCAGAAAGACAGAGAGAAATAGACAGAAAGCGAGAAATCACCCCCTAGGGAGGATGGCCATGCCACAGTCTCTTCTCCTCCATTCTCCTCTCTGGATCTTGGGCACGCACGCATACACCCGGCGTGAGTTTAAGTCACTGGGTCCAGGACTCAAACCACAGTTGACTACATGGGAGTCCAGCAACATAGCCATTACGCTAACTGCTGGTCCCTTATTTATTTTTTTAATCTGAGAGAGAGAAAGTGAGAAAGCAAGCTGCCAGATCCAGTACTCAAACCATGGTCAGCCCTGTGAAAGTCCAGCACCACCTGCTGGCCCTGGGAGACACTTTAAAATGTCTCTACTCCACCAATGAAGCGGCCTTGTCTTTATTCATCGTCGGAGACACTGAGGCTCAGAGAGGTTAACACAGCTAAGGTCACACAGCAGCTGGGATTCAGTCCTGGGCTGGGTTGCTATGGAGAAGCATAATTGGAGGGAACAAGACAGGAGAATAGTCCAGTTGTTGGTCTCAGGATCTCAGCCTTTCCATGGTTAGAGATCAGCAAAGTCAGAAACTCCATTTCCTTTCTGGCAGCCTCTCTACTACAGGTGCTGATCCCGTAGCCCATTCTGAATTAACTGTATCCCCACATCAGGCCTCAGTGGAGCATTCTGGGAAGGCTGGGCATGGAGGAAGGTGTGATGCTAACTCTGAAAGAGCCACTTCAAACACCAGGTTATAACTGGAGAACAGAGAGGGGTCTGGAAATGCAAGGATGGAATCAGTACTTGAAAAAGGATGGGTCGGCCCTCTGAGGCTCACGACCCACCTGCTGGGATTGAATTACCAAGTCCTGTGTGGTATCTGATCACAGATTTTGTGTCTGCAGACAAGGAAAGGGGGAAGGAAAAGCTGGAGGAGGACGAGGCGGCAGCGGCCAGCACCATGGCCGTCTCAGCCTCCCTCATGCCGCCCATCTGGGACAAGACCATCCCGTACGATGGCGAGTCCTTCCACCTGGAGTACATGGATCTGGACGAGTTCCTGTTGGAGAACGGCATCCCCGCCAGCCCTATCCACCTGGCCCAGAACCTGCTGCTGCCTGTGGCCGAGCTAGAAGGGAAGGAGTCTGCCAGCTCCTCCACGGCGTCCCCACCGTCCTCCTCCACTGCCGTCTTTCAGCCCTCCGAAACCGTGTCCAGCACAGGTTGGTGACAGGCCTGTGGGCAGGGCCACCTGTCTCATACACAGATGACCACATCTCCCTGAGAGCTGCTGGTGTCCACGTACCCAGTGAGCCTCTTTTCTCTGCTCCCCACCCTTCACACAGTCCCTCAAGGCCAGAGATAAAAACAAGTAGTCACAGAAGCAGTCTGAACTTTCTGTTGGCTGGGGCTGAACTGCTCAGGCAGTGGGGTGAGTCCTTCCAGTTTTTCACAGGGCAGAAATCCCATCTGCATTTCCTTCTTTCTTTTACCACCACATGTACTTTTTCTTGCCACAGATTATTAGAAAAGTAATAACAGGCAGTAATAATAATACCCACTAACATTTAGCACTTACTTTGTGGTCAGCATTATCATCTAATCTTCACAAGAAACCAGAACCTTATAAGATTAGTATTATGGCCATTTTGCAGGCGAGGGAACTGAGGCTCAGAGAAGTTAAGTAACTTGCTCAAGATCACACAGCTGGTTGGTAGTGGAGGCAGCAGGTCAACCCAGGACATTTGACTCCATAATCACTCTAAGACACTGGCACAAAAAAGGCATTCCCACCACCTGGCCAGGACAAATATTATCCTCAGTATCTATCCCTTTGTCCTCTTACTCTTTTTCTGGTTTACCTCTAAAGGGTTATTTGCTTTTATGCTCTTTTTTCAGTGGACTCTGCAAAGCTTCCTGTAGACTCAGTTAGAGGCTTACAGGCTGATGTCTCCTGGGAGCTGGTGTGTCACCCAAGGAACCCACACCCAGGAAATTGATAAATTGATGTGCTGCTTTTGTTTTGTTTTAGGTTTTTTTGTTTTTGTTTTTTTTTGCTCTGTCCCCACTGGGGACAGAGAGAGAAAGTAAGAAAGCACCCCCAAAGAAGAATGCAGTACTTTCTCCATTCTCCTCTTGGGATTTTGGGCACACGCACAAAACACGCACCTGACATGTTTTTCAAGCCAGTGGGCCCCAAGACTTGAACCATGCAATTGGTCATGTGAAAGAAATCCAGCTACCAGCTAGCCTTTAGCTTTTTATTGTGGAAAAAATTTCAAACAAAATATAGAAGAGACTACTATAATGAACCTCTGTGTAACCATCAGCTAGCTTCAGTAATCAGTTAATTAATTAATTAATTTTAGGTTTTTGCCATAGGGTGCATGTGCTTGCTGGAGAGACACAGAGAGAGGAGAAGTGAGAAATCATCCCGCAGGGTATGGCCACACGGCACTCGCTTCTCCTCCATTCTCCTCTTGGGATTTTGGGCGTATATGCACACATGCGTGATTTTCAAGTTGCCAGTTTGGAACTCTAACTTTAGTGGCCATGTGAGAATCAAGTACCTTAGCCACCATACCACCTGCTGGCTCCAAGTTCAACAATTTTTTTATTTTTTAGAGAGATTTTTATTATAGGGTGCATGTGCTCGCCAGAGAGACAGACACAGAATATGAGAAATCAAACCCAGAGGGGATGGCCATGCCATAATTCCTTCTCTTCTGTTCTCATGGGATTTTTGGCACTCATGCACATGTGCTTGGGGTGAGTTTTAAGCCAGTGGGTCCAGGACTCGAACCACAGTCTACTAGGTGGGAATCCAGTGACATAATTATTACGCCATCTGCTGGTCCCAAGTTCAACAATTTTTAATGTGTAACTAAGTATTTTCTGTCAAATCCTAGATGTTATATAATTTATAATTTTTTTTTTTTGGAGAGGTTTTCGCTATAGGGCGTGTGCGCTCGCCAGACAGACAGAGAGAGACATAGAGACAGAAAGCGAGAAATCACCCCCCAGGGGGGATAGTCATGCCGCAATCCCTTCTCCTCCATTCTCCTCTCGGGATCTTGGGCACGCACGCACACGCGCCCGGCGTGAGTTTTAAGCCACTGTCCCGGGTCCGGGATGCAAACCGCGGTCGACTACGTGGGAGTCCAGCGACATAGCCATTATGCTAACTGCTGGTTCCCTGTGATTTATAATTTTTTAAAGAATTATTTTGTTTAACTTTATTTATTTTTCTATCTATCTATTTATTTATTTTAATTTGACCAGAGAGGAATAGAGCGAGAGAGAAGGAGGAAAAGTGAGAAAACAAGCTGCCAGGTCCTAGAGTCGAACTGCTGTTGCCATGTGGAAGCCCACATCACTGCTGGCCCCCACCCATAAATATTTCTTTCCTTTTCTTCCTAGAATTATTTATTTAATTTTATTTATTTAATTAAAAAAATTTTTATAGGGCATGTGTGCCCATCAGAGAGAGACAGAGAGAGGGAAGGCGAGAAAACAAGCCATCAGGTCTAGATTCAAACTGGTTGGCCATGTGAGAATATAGTGCCTTAACCACCACACCACCTGCCGGCCTTTCATCGATAAAATTTCAATATTCGGACCAGCAGGAGGTATAGTGGTTGAGGGTGCCGGATTCCCACACGGCCAACTGCTGTTTGAGTTAAGCCCCAGCAGCTTGCTTTCTCTCTTTCTCTTTCCTCTGTCTCTATCTCTCTTTGGCGAGTATGCATACCCTACAGCAAAAACCTAAAAAAAAAATAAATGAAAATATTATTTTTAAAAAACTTTAATATGTATCTAAAGTATACAGGGTCTTTTGGGGGGCCAGTAGGTACCGTAGGGGCTAAGGCACTGGACTCCCACATGACTGACCGCCATTTGAGCCCCAGATCCTGGAATTGTGTGCCCAAAATCCCAAGAGGAGAGTGGAGGTGAAGGGATTGCAACTTGGCATTCCTCTTGTGTGTGGGGGGGTGATTTCTCACACTCTCTGTCTCTCTCCCCAAAGCGTATACGCCCTATGGCAAAAACCTAAAAAATAAAGAAAGTTCTTCGTAAAAGCTGTTACAAAAATAACCAGTTTTATGTCTAAAGTTAGCGATAAACCCATGAGCATTCAAATTTCTAAAGTTGTCTCATAATTGTTATTATTTTACAGTTTTTTGTTTGACTCAGGGTTCAGGTACACTCTATACATTGCATTTGGTTGATACGTTTTAAATTTTTTGTATTCTAATGGCTTCCCTCTCCTTTTTTCACCTTTGCAGTTTATTTGCTGATGAAACCTAGTGTGTCCTGTA